ATATAACTATGTACTAAAATCATGATAAAAGTTATAAAAGAATGAAGCACTAATGACTGATTCCCATAAAACAGCCACAAACAGATCTTGTTCTAAGATAGGAGCCAGATATGGTGTTATATCTCCACCTTCAAGCTTACACATCTACTGCCTTGAATAGGTGAATATCTGTGAAATATAATCAACACATGAACAACAGAGAGAGATAAAACACAAAACAAAAAACATTTCTAAGTCCAATCAATTTGTTCTGAAACTCCCGGAGGTTAAAGGGGAAAATGACTCCTTCATTTGGCAGGACTGTATAAGATAACCTTTTTTTTTTGCAAACCTCATGCAGTGCACAAGCATGTTTCAAGCTTAATCCTAGGACTAGATATGAATCCACGCAAGCTAAAAAAGGAGCTCCCCCTGATAGCGTCTGGGCTCGGGGAGATGACCAGACACACACGAGGAATACGAGGAGGACAATTTTTCAGACAAGGAATAGCCGCGCCAGTCCTCCTCCTCCTCCTCTTGGTCAGCCAGGGAGGAAAGCGAGGTGTAAAGCTGCTGAAATGAGGCACAGTCCGAGTCAATTTGAACGCTTAGAGAGAGACAAAGTGGGAGGGGAAGAGAGAGACAAGGAAAGACATAGGGATGCCATGGTGTTAGTGGATGTTATGCTCTAAGGGTAGGCCGAGGAAATCAAGCAAGTTTAGTGGATGCAAGGGGGATAATGGGGGGGAGGATGGAACATTTGGGGGGAACAAGGAACATGCTAATTTCAAGAAGCACCAATATTGGATTGTGTGGTTTTAGCTTGGCACAGAGAATGACTGGAAATGCAATATCAACAAAATGCTAAGTGATTATCCACAACTTCTAATCATGCCTGAAGTCTTTTAATCTTTTCCTTCTTCAATTTCTTGAAATCTTGCTTGGAAATTCTGGTGATACTTTTACGCCAACAGAACTCTTGGGCAAGATCAGATATTACTTCCTTATTTTTCCATAAAACAGTGATCATTCTCTGACATCTTTCTTTTCAAATACTATGCCTTTGTATCAAGCCACCAGTCTTTCCACACTTGGTCCTTATAAAACCCAATCAGAGAATGCTGAAAGGAAGGCCCTGGCTAATTCAGCCACACAAAGGAAAGTGCATAATTGTAACAAAGAGGACACTGCTGCCCAAATCTTGGCATCTGAAGTTCTCGAGATTACAATGTGCTATAAGTATAAGAAATAAATTTTACATAGTATTGGAATTCCTTTGCTTGGGTTTACTTTGTCTAACCTTTATTTATCCTGTAGCATATGAATGCATCTATATACTTCTACATGTGTCAGGCAACCCGAGCACCTCTCTTCCAGGAAGAGAAAACAGCAACATGCTTGACTTTTCTTTGAACCTTTTGTCAACAGCACATTTCTAACTCAATGTTCAAGCTTCAGAAGGATTTGGGCAACAAAAGGGATCATCTGAACCTCAAAAGTTAACGTATAATAATAATCACAAAGGACATAACAGAAATGGCACAGAAAATAAAGGAAAAAAAGAAAAAAAAAATCAATCATGGGTGGATTATCTTGAAATAAGGCATAATGAAGGACCATTAGACCTAGAACCTTGATCAAGGGTAGGGAGGATGGTCAGGAATGAGCCACTTACCTGCGTCAGCTGTTCGGTTGTAGTCAGGAGCCTCGCTAAGGGTGCGCAGCAGAGGGGTGTCGTGTCTAGCAGGGTGGGGCGACTGTTGGTCAGGAAAGGCTTCATGAACCTCACGTCAAACTGCGACCAGATGCGGAACAGCCAGGCCTTCTCGTACTTGCTCGAGCTGCTGCTGGTCCCTTCGCCAGGGCCGTCTCCCCCATCCTCTGCCCCTGGCCCCTAGAGGTAATGGGAAAAATGAAATATACAAATATTTAAAAATGATAATGAAGTCAGTACTACTCAGGCTATGATCTTAAAAATGAAGAAAGAATTTTGGTTAATATTTTCATTAACATTACTAGTCATCAGTGAATTCCTTCATTTTTCTTTTCTCTGCCTCCCTGTGGGTGGAAGTGGGTGGAAGTGTGTGGGTAGGAGCAGGTGCAAGTGTTTAAGGTTCAGTTGGGTGTAAGTGTGGGGGTTCAGTTGGGTATAAGAATAGGGATTCAGCTGAGTGTAAGTGTAGGGTTTCAGTGGGGTGTAAGTGTTGGGGTTTGCGTGAGGTGTGAGTATGGGTGTAGGTGTGGGGATGGCTACTGGGTGTAGGTGTGGGGATGGCTACTGGGTGTGGGTGTGGGTGTGGGGATGGCTACTGGGTGTAGGTGTGGGGATGGCTACTGGGTGTGGGTGTGGGTGTGGGGATGGCTACTGGGTGTAGGTGTGGGGATGGCTACTGGGTGTGGGTGTGGGTGTGGGGATGGCTACTGGGTGTGGGTGTGGGTGTGGGGATGGCTACTGGGTGTGGGTGTGGGTGTGGGGATGGCTACTGGGTGTGGGTGTGGGGATGGCTACTGGGTGTGGGTGTGGGTGTGGGGATGGCTACTGGGTGTAGGTGTGGGGATGGCTACTGGGTGTGGGTGTGGGTGTGGGTGTGGGTGTAGGGGTAAGTGTAGAAATAGGTTTGAGGTGGAGATGGTGTAGGTGTAGGTGAGTAGGGATGGATACAGGGATGGATACAGCTGTGGGTATAGGTGTGGGAGTGGGTGTAGGTGAGTGTGAGTATGTGTGGGTAGGTATAAGAGTGAGTGTATAATATATGTATGTGCATGTGTATGTGTATTAGTGTGTGTGTGTGCACGTGTGTGTACATGTGTGTGTGCTCGCATGTGCCTGCATGCTTCATATACAAGCATTTGCATTTGCACTTTTAATAATCTAAATCAAATATACCTCTTTAGTAATAGGCATAGAAAAGTATCAATGACGAATCCACTTTTATAAATTTAGAATAATAAAGTTAAAAGCTGGAACTTAAAAAGCATAAGGTAACAAACTGACTCTTCAACTTTACATATTACCATAAGTGACTGCTGTAGAAAATATATGTATATCACTTAACTCTAAAAATCATATACAATCAACACTGTAATCAAGAAAAAGAGCAAATATTCAAAGCAAAAATTCCAAACAGAAAGTATGTGAGTGTCCCCCCCAAAATTTGTAAGATCAATTTTGCATTACAATATTTTTTCCAAGATCTTCTCCAAGAACAAGACTTCTGACAGCAGTCGCACATTTAAGTATATAATCCCAATACAATATTTTCTTAACCCATTCACACCGGGTAAAAATGAACAAAAAATGGGGAAAATGCTGTGCTCATTTTTTATATTTTTTTGTGAAATTTCTCTACACTAGATGGCTCTGCCTTACCTGATCTCACCTTTACTTGAATTGACGGGAAAATGTATTTTTACTAGTACTATGAATATCGATGGTTATTTTTATTATAAACATCATAATTACTCTAATGTTATAAACATTAGTAACAGCAAAATAAGATAATGTAAAATATTTTCGTAAATTAAAGAAAAGGGTAAACTGGCAAGACAGACAGTACAGGTACAAGTGTAGCCATCTATGTGTTAAAACAACTAAACAAGTAAACTCACAGTGGGCGCGTCAAGTATGCATGACACCCGGCACGAATGGGTTAAAGCAAAAACTCTCAGAGTCAGCATAAGGAAAGTAGCCACCCTTCTACTTCTACAGTTAGCCATCAAAATAAATCACAAGAATTAAATCCAATTCATTCTGTTGATTATACAATAATTAACAATAATCATCAGGAGAAACCACAATAATCCCCATTCTGCTCAGCACACAAACACCCAAAACAGTGAACGTCTAATGTATGAAGAAGAAAAAATCTCTTTCACATTGACTTTTTCTCATATCTATACAGTCGACACTTGTCACAATCACTAAGTCAAAATATCCTTTCAATAAGAAACTCCTTCGTGGGAGTCTCCCTGACAACTTAACTTTTCTGAGACCGCTTTTGCCAAAAATATGAGCTGAGAAAGGAAAAGGATTACAAAAAGACGGAATGGAGGAAAATCAGAGAGTGAAAACAATGAAAAACAGAAAGGATGAAGGCATCTGTATCATTAACTAGAACGGCCATGTCTTTGGCAAAAGCACAAGTGTCTGACTGATAGTCTGATTTTTTGAAATTGCATGATCAGCAGAAAAATAAGAGCAGAGAGATAAATTAATGACTCATGAGTCAAAGCCAACAATTTTTCTTTTCAAGAAATATAACTATTAATCAAAATAAACCTTATACACTTATTCTTGACATTTGTCACATACCTCCATTTTTCAACCAAAGGAAAATGATTTCTTGTGTTTGCAACAAACTTTTTTTCTAAATCACAAGTTTAGTTGTGTGGTTGCTCAGTGCCATTCCAGTGTTTACATTATGCAGGGATTGTTCTACTCTATCTATTCATCTTATTCATTCCTTCTTTCCTTTCAAGATTGTTTGGTAAATAAGATTTTTGAAGTTATCAGTACACTGAATCTCAAAAGACATTTTCAACTTTCACAGTCAAGGGTTTTAAGTATATTCCAAAATATTTTCAAATAGACATATAAAAGGAAGAATTAGCTACTTCCATATAACAACAATAAACCCACTGATGAATGTTAGAGACAAGGTCCTACATAGAGGATTGGACACTAAAATATTGCTTCAAACACTAATGTGAAAATATTTGCTTGCATGCTAACCCCCTCAATGATGGGCTTGAGAATACAATGCCTCTCTCATAGACAAGCATATTTTTGACAAATCCTATTTATCTTGAGACATAGTTGAGAATTTGTCACAGTCATTAGACATTGCATAATACATGTTCATAGCATCTTCAGTTACATATTTATGGCATGTTTCTGGCACATTTGTAACACGCTTTGGGCAAAGTTTCAAACAGTGTTTGGAAACAAGGGTGTCCAGCCTTTAAAGAATCAAATAAAATACAAATATGCTCAGCAATACTTTCTCACTAACCATCTGCAACTTAAATTTATTGGTGCAGAGTGCCTATCAAAGTCAACTAACTATGCAAGAGATGTTGCTTCTTATGACTTCACTTACTCTTCTAAAAACAATTAATAAATACTTCTTTTATGTTGACAAAGCAGAAAACTCACTTCCTGTCTATCTAGATTTTTTTTTCCTGTATGTAAGCAAAAACCATTACATTTACCAATCAACTAGTCAACTAGTCACTCTGGAAAAGTATAAAATATATGCACTGTGACATTCCAGTATTTCATCTCATTAAAAGAAAAAGAAAGAAAGAAAGAAAAAATATAAAAAATAAAACAATGGACAAATCACCTTACAATAGAATTCAAATTTTCTTGCGCACTTCATTACGTCCATTAACCATGAGCATTCTTCCTACTTGAAAGGCCATAACACCTCTTACCTGCCAATAGGACAACACTAGTTTCCTTTTTTTCCATATCAATATTCTAATTAACCGACATCACTACATCACCATGTTTTCTCTCACAAACAACAAATCAGAATAAAGTTCGCAATGCGTGCAGTCAGCCACAGAAGTTAAGGTTCTGAACTGCATCAAGGACTGTAGGTCTCTGGCCAAACACTTGTCACTCTTGCACGATCTCCATTTGTCTGTCCCTCTTACAAGCAGACTCACAAGGCGCGGACCCCCATCTTCATCAGTAGAGATGCAGAACTTCTGTTTGAGTCTTCCTTAAAAAAACATGCATGGTTGTCCCTGGAGACAGCTCAAAGTGGATGCAGCCGTCACATAAGCTATATTTACAGTGACAGATTTGGAGTGTCGCAGCAGGATTAGTACTATAAAGCAGTAACTGTGGGGCAGATTAATTTCTTTTCATTCTTTTCACTGGTTGTATAAGTAGCTTTATCTAGTTTTCTCAGCATGTACTTGCAATCTTGGTTATGTACAATGTTCATATGAAATTAAATAATAATCATAAGATACATAGATACACTGAGAGCATAAAGATAAGCTGCATGGTAATGGTAATGTTACAAGCAGATACTTAGCAAAATTAGTTTCTGATCTGAGAAAGGAGCATTACAAAAAAAATAAGACAAAAATAATAATAATATATAAAGAAATATATAAATAGTTTGTTATAATACCCTGAGATTTGTAGTGGTGCTATTATCTTGCACTACTAGGAACATTAATATTAGCATTCACAATCAGTGCTATATAACAATAGAAATCATAAGCATTTACAAATACATACAGTAATTACAACGTGTTAATATAGAACAACTCTGTTAATAACACTATGGCATTGGCAACAAGTGACCTATCACATCATGAATCCACTTCCTGATTGCTGGAATGAGGTCTTGCAAGCCTGATCACCAGTGTGCACAAAGTTTTCACCCCTTCTCCATCAAAAATTTTACCTGTCGTTACTGCCTCCAAAGGTTTACCAGTGAAAGAAAAATCTGGATTTAAAATTCTAGCCTAGTAGAGTAAAATGTTAAATCTGTAGAGCAACGTTTCACCCACTAATGATAGGTGATGCGATGGTGAATAATCAAAGATGATGGGTGATGCCTTATCGCATTATGAGTTAATGTCCCAATCAGTAGTGAGGTCTCATGTGCACTATTGCAAGCCAGACAATCATCCAAGCATGGTGCTGAGCAAACTAATAAATACCTGTCATTGCCTAACTAAAGTCATTGCTGGGTTAACAAATAATAGTACTGCTTGATAAGGAAAATGTTATCTTCCTGCACCTTGGACAATGAAAAAATACTAAAATTTATCTGTTAGATTATCATCATAGTCGAGAAAGTATTCTATTCATGATTTCAAGCCTGTCAACAATGGAACAATACCTACTTTGCATAGCCTTGGCATTGCTACTCATGCGACTGTACCACTCCTACAAATATATACAATTCAGACCTCGTGATTATACACATTAGAAATGGGTCTGGCATTTGCAGTTATGGAAGACTAAACAGAATCAAGATGTAGTATCACGACATCCTTGAATTTTCTGCTTCAACCATTACCATTTAACCTTTTTACAAAATCTGATCAAATCTATCAGCTAGCTTATACCCAACATCATTGTAACACTGAAAATGAGTCTGCTAATTTTGAAAGCACACGAGAGAAAATTTCAATACTAATGCAAAATACAACGGATACGACCATGAAGGCTACTGATTTTACTTTGTTTAATTCAGGAGATGATTCAACTACGACACATGGCTTTCTGAGAGAGAGAGAGAGGAAGTTACCAATCCAGAACGCAGGTTGAATTTTTCTGTCAGATAATCTAGCAGTGAGTGAGGTTTAGTGGGGAAATAAGATGACTGCTATATTAGAAACACATAAATACCCGAAATTCATGGGAAGAGAGAGAGAAAAAAAAATCCCCTCCCACCCTGACATTTTAACATTTGCTTCTTAGCCCAACCCGAATGAGTCACATGTACCACCATCATAACAAACCGTGGGGTATGCCTGCACGCGCGGTGACGCACCAGAGCACATAGAGCAGAAAGTTCAGCTTGATGTTGCAGACTCTTGCGCCCAGTGTCTGGTTGTTGCCAGGAACCACCAGAGTTTATCATGCTCAGGGATTTCTGCTCACCCGGCAGTGATGGGTTAATTATGCAGTGCTATGTAAATCAGTTTATTAAAAACATTTACAGTTCTAAAACTAAAATACTTCAGAGATCAGAGATCTACAAAGCATTCAGATGTCTGATCCACATTTCCCATAAAAGGAATGATGTACAAGCAATGAACGCACTGAGGGGAAATATAAATAAAATAAAAATTATAACGAAACCTCAGCTTTGACACCATTAACTGTTAAAGAAACGTAGTTCATGTAGCAGACACAAGACCTTTATTTTTTTCATCTATGCTACAACAAACAGGGAGTAAACAATGTAGCAAACACAGTCACCAATTTCTTTTCTTTGTGAGCTTTTTTTTTTTTTTTTTCTTTCTTTGAGGAGAGGGGTAAAGAGGGAATACTGCGCTTGATTTGGGTCTAAGACTTGGTAACAGTTTTCCTGTCATTACTGCAAAGGAAAAAATAACACCGAGAAAAAAATATATAAACACACAAATAATAGGAAAAGGGGGAGGGGAAAGGAAAATGAAGAAGACCAAATGTACAAATAACAAACCATGTCCCATATTCGGATCTCGAAAACAAAGAAAACACGAACGGGGGAAAAAAAAATGGATACTCCATACGTGGCACCTTTTGGATCTGGCACACACACAGAAAAATGCAACTCTACTGTTAGTTAAAAAACGAATAAAGAAATAATAATGCTCTCAAAAAAACAAGTGCTTTTTATCTTGTAAAAAAAAACAATGACAATGTCCTCAATATGTCACTGCCAAAAATCTGTAACGGTTAGCATCATGTGTGTCAATCCGAATATCATGTAAGAGTTTGGGTACTGTAGTGAACTTTCATCTAACTAACATATGATCATGCATCGCTGCAACTTAGGCTAAATACACTGTCAGGTGATAAAGAATCGATGGAACAAGAGCCAACGTAACATACATAAAAGCACCACGGACAAGCACAAATACACGAAAATAAGGAAAAAATAAATAAAACAAAATAAACAGCTTATACACAAGGGAAAGAATAAGCTTTGTGAAACTAAACTGAAGAAGTAAAAAAAAATAAATACTCAAGATGGGCTTACATAGTCGGGGATGTCTACTTACTACGAGCCATTCCCCATGCAAGGGACGGAGAAATAAAAACAAAAAGATTGGTTACGTACCCTGCCTTCGTCAATGCTTTTGTAATCCTGAAACATCAAAACAAAACACGTTTTGATGGACTTTTTAAATTGTAAAAACTCATATAGAAAAACAAGAAATATATAAAGTACTTAATAAGCTGCCATGAAAAAAAAAGAAAAAAAAGAAAAAAAAAAAAGAAAAAAAAAAAAAAAGAAAAAGAAAAGTAATCTATATATCATGAAACTCCTTAACTAGGTAAATACACTCTTTAATCTACACATACACCTGGAAAGAGAACTGTGCTTAAGTACTACAAACCAGTGCCAACCAAACCTTACTGTGCTGCGTCCAATGCGGATGGATATTTATACCAAAGCAATGCAGGCTACCTTCCTGCCTTACTGAAAATCTTAATACAGGGTGTGAGTGTCTTGTGAATGGGAAACACGTGCCACGCAGGGAGCATTTCGGTGACTGACTCTGCCATTGGCCAGAAGAAAACAAATGGGGAAACGGATTGATGGAAACACAACGGACTGAAAATATATATGAAAGAAAGAGTAATGACAATGAATAACTGAGAAAAAAGGGGAAATAGCTAAGAAAAATAATAAATAAATAACAATAATGAATAAATAAATAAAAGCACCAAGTTCTGCCTGGCTTGAAAGAAATATAAAAATGCACTCTTAGCGTTTACAAAACACTGGGGGTCCTTATCAATATTTGGAATTACAAACCAGGTGAATTTGCAGACGATTCTTGAAGGTAGGATGAATGCATGGTATATCAATATCGGTGGCTTACCATCTCTTGCAACGCCACATAATAAATGCATAACACTGGAACGCATAAAAAAAATCCAAACCTTGGGTGGCAACTTTTGCAACTCCTTCCTAACCCTCTCACATGCAGCTAAAAACAGGGTGAGATATACATGCAAATATCCTTAGTGCTTCTCTGAGCCACTGTGGTAATATGCAATTGCATCTTAAAGTTCGAGACCACAGGGTTATTCATGCATATTTGTGAGAGGGTTAAGCTTGCTCAACTTAAAATCTATGGTAAAAAAAAAAGAAAGAAAAAAAGAAAAGAAGTTGAAAAAAATGTCATAAACATTAAGTAAAATAAATAAACAAAGGACAGAAATCTGAAGCACTCAAGACTTTAATTCCTACTTACATTTCTGATTGGCTGGAACGAGGTGTTTAGGTGGTGGGTTTCATCATCCTCCACATCAACCCTAAAAATAAAAATAACACAAATGGGTTAATACATCTCCTGCAGTCCATTCCTTGACACAGCAATAACCCAACTTCCATACATGTTGGATCTGCTTCCTGGATAGTCCTGACTCCACATATCTTCCACTGGGAGTGAAGCATGACCACTCTTGCAATGCCAAACACACTGCATACTCAGTTTCTTTAGCATACAAGTAATGCATGCTTATAAGCAGGACTTATTAAAATTGGGATTTTATAAGAAAAAAAAAAAAAAAAGTCAGGGACACACAAATTAATGTAATGTCATTTAATAAATGCTTCTCAACTCCAAGACATCAATTGAAGCAAGTCACACATTTTAAAACCATTAGTCTTTGTCTGGAGCCCACTCTCACAAAATACACACACAATTCATTTGGCAAACCAAAACTCTAGGAATGCAAAGCAGAAAGGGTATGCTGCTGCTAGTGCACACAAGCTCATCTCCAACAAATGTACTCTCCACTTCTTAATTTTTTGTTATGATATACAAACTCACTTTGAATGTACCTAAACTGCTGAAAGCCACACTAGTTCATAGGCACTATATTTGTTTATTAAAATCTTTCTTTTTCTTTTCTGTAGGCCTACCCTTCATTGCAACAATATACCAGCTTCATTTTTCTGCCAAAATTTTAGTAGGAGAATAATGATGCAGAATCAAATGCGTGTGTTCATATAGCAGTATAGATCCTCTATACGGTCACAATCACCTTTGTCTGAGAGGTGTCCAATATGCAAACAATACTTGCAGAAGGCCTCAAATAATTCAGACAGAAATACAAAAATTATAGGAAAAAGTACTATTGTGATAGTGCCTTAAGAAATCCATTGCAGCAATTTTACTTAATGCTTACTTGATATATCTCCAGTTTACTCTCTATTCTAAGAGTGCAACACCATTTGCATAATCTGCACTACTTCCAGTTCTAATCCTAGGTGTTTAATGTAATAAATGGCTAGCAGTCATTGAGTTATGCACACATTTTCTTTCCTTTTTTTTCAATTTAGTAATGTACTGAGAAGCACCAAAAGAAGTTTTACCTGAAAGTATGCCCAGTGACTTTATCCATGAAATTAGGAGATAACAAACGTGATTCATGGAACCAAGTCAAATATTCAGAACTAAAAAAAATCAGACAGATATTATACACATCATATTGTGATATATAAGTAAAAATAAGGTCCAAAGGAACTGAGAAGAGGCACTGGGATGTAAGTAGTGAGATGTGAGAAGTGACACAAGAGAAGAGAGGAGTGAGGAGAAGAGAGGAGAGAAGAGAGAGAGAAAATAAAAAAGAAGAGAGCACACACATAAGAGCATGAGTGAAGTTTTAAATATTAAACAAATTAGGAAAAGTAAGGGGAAAGAGGAAAGACAAACAAAAAGACTATATATGATAACAAAACATTACTACTCTACAGTTAATAACTAATGAAAAAAAGCACCACTAAAACACATTTTTCAACTCACGGTATCCCAAGCCATGAGAGAACCTGGGTGGTGAGGCCGCCGCATAATATGACAGTTATAATGACTATCAGCGACGTCGTGGTTAGGATGGCCTTCCGTGCAGTGCTGCTGGTGTTGCGAATGGCAAGGGCAAAGGCTATGGCTCCTCTGAGACCTAGATTGGTGGGGATATAAAAGAATTTTTTTTAGTAAAACACATTTATGTAAATGATGCTGATAATAGATATATTTTTAACTTACTGAGAAAAGTAAGAATAAAGCTAAATAAAAAACAATCATATTAATCATACAACTGACAACAAAAATGCCTATAACCACAGCAGTAAAAAGAAAAGAAAAAATAATATCCAGTAACCAACAAAACAGCTTCAACAGGAGAACTGTCCATTTCCCTCACCCGAGAAGAACAACATGTTCATGAAGTTGATGGGGATCTTCGGAGTCCGACCAAGGTTCAGCAGGAAGGAAAGAGGGTAGACGCACATGAAGCGCCCCGCGATGATGGCTACGAAGGCGATGGAGATGAATCCCACGTCCCACTTGTGGTGGTCAAAGGTGAACATAGACACCCCAATGTATGAGAAGATAAAGTTTTCTGAGAGGAAATTGAGGAGTTCGAACAGCGTCTTGGTAGCAACGCGACTCTCCGCAGACAGGTTGTTGTAGGTGTAGTGGGCTTGGCAGATTCCACAGAAGAGCACAGCCACAATACCTGGAAAGTTTGGGTGTAAAATTTTGTATTTCACTCCTTCTATTTCTACCAACTAGATCCAGAACTGCTATCTTTTTTTTATACACTTTAAAAAATCGTAAAATAATGTTATTAGCATACAAGAAATATACTGATAACAAACTGTCATTCTATGATACATCCATTTAAAATGTATCCATCCTTCCCAGACCTAGCCATTCTCCACTCTTAGTTAACAAGTTAACATGAGCAGTTAAATTGTGAGTCAAAAGCAACTGGGTCATGTATTAGGAGTGTCTGGGGAGGCAGAGGGTAGGTAGATCTTCCTTAAGGTCATACTTCTGACTCAGTATGCCTAAAGTGATGATGGCAAGCATACTTCTTGTCTGCTCAATGAGATTTATTAGCATTTATGATATATATATATTTTTTTTTTTTTTTTTTGTATTAGCCATGATACATTATGGGATATTTAAAAGGTCAATCTTTTTATTGCTTTGACTGTGGCAAAAAGATGGCCAGGCAATTAGTACTAGATATTATGACATTTAACCACCAAGAATGTCAAAACACCCACACTGGCCCCATAGCTCAATACCCCGATACCCTAACCATGGTCCCTAACCCCTGCTCACCACGTCCCTGACCCTCCCCCCCATTCCATTTTTATCCCCTTACCTGTCAAGTCCGCTGCCTCTGCCATGAGGAAGGTAGAGTATGACATGAGGACAAAGAGCGCCGTCTCCAGCAGCGGGAAGTCCTTAAGGCGCGTGAACTTGGTGAGGATGGCGGTGAGGCAGCCCATGACTGAGCCGATGAGGAATGACATGCTGAAGATCCACAGGAAATTGAGGATGGCCAGGAAGAAGGCCGACGTCTCAAAGCCTCCACTGGCACTGCCATAACTTTCAATGGCACTGGTGACAAAGAGCAAGAGACAATGAGTTTGGAGGCAGTGGGGAACAGTGATAAATATTAGAAAAAAAAGGGGGATTAAAGAAGAAACAGACAAGAAGCAAAAATATTAAAAGAAAGAAAAAGAATTAAAAAAAAAAAAAAAAGATTTCAAGAACCACAATTTGCAAAATACAAACAAACCTCCCTTGTAAAGAAAAGAAGAAGAAGACTAAGAAGAACAAGAAGAACAGGAACAAGAAAACATAAATAAACAAATCACCAGACAAACTAGCAACTCACCTAGACAAGACAATGGCAACTGCATCGTTGAGAACCGACTCTCCAAACACCAGGGCATACAGATTGACGTCCACGTGGAGATCCGAGAAGATGGCCAGCACGGTGACTGGGTCGGTGGCGGAGATGAGGGCGCCGAATAAAAGGCAGTCGATGAATGAGAAGCTTGAGCTCAACAGCCATAAGAAGCCATACACTAAGCCGCTGAAACAGAGGAAACCCATAGAGGTGTAAGGAGTTAATGTAATACTTTACTGAAAGATAGGGTTGTGCTCCTGAAAACCTTTTTTTGTGAGATGGTACAATAAGTATTTTAAAAAGTGGCGTGAATCACTTACCAATGTATTATACTATAAATAATAATAATAATAATAATAATAAATAATAATAAAAAAATAACAATAATAATGAATGTATAACTGTGTGTGTGTGTGTGTGTGTGTGTGTGTGTGTGTGTGTGTGTGTGTGTGTGTGTGTGTGTGTGTGTGTGTGTGTGTGTGTGTGTGTGTGTGTGTGTGTGTGTGTGTTTAATAATAATATAAAATCATAATAATGTTAGTATGAATTGGATATTCACTTGTAATTTTTATACTGCCTCTCATATATATATCTTAGTTTCCCTGATGTACCACACATCTGCACCATAATTCCAAGATATCTCACTCTCTCATAATGAGAACCTTGCAAAGAAGTGATCTCCCCCATGAATAGATGATAGATTTAAGTTGTACACTAAATTTTCTATTCCTCGTCTCATCTCATCATTACATTAGTCATCTTTCGGCTATAGAAACTGTATCCATTGAAACACAAATGAACGTTCTGTGAAAAGAAAACAAAAAAACATCCATACAGACATATTCATAAATACATACAGGGACAAAAAGACTATAAAAAAAACTGGGGTTAAAAAAGTGGAGACATGTACAACAGCAAGAGCTTACCCAACTACAAAAGTTGATATGGTTGTCCCCAGAAAGGCAAATGTGAAAATGGCACCCAGGTTCTTGAAGAAATGTCTCTGGAAGGAAGAGAGAGAAAGTAACAATGAGAGAGTGAACCAAGATAAAAATAATAGGTTATAAGTGGAATATATTAATGTGAATTGCAAAAAGATTCCTAAAAAATATGAAGGGATGAAAAAAAAAAAAAAAAAAAAAAAAAAAAAAAAAAAAAAAGATTTCAAGAACCACAATTTGCAAAATACAAACAAACCTCCCTTGTAAAGAAAAGAAGAAGAAGACTAAGAAGAACAAGAAGAACAGGAACAAGAAAACATAAATAAACAAATCACCAGACAAACTAGCAACTCACCTAGACAAGACAATGGCAACTGCATCGTTTGAGAACCGACTCTCCAAACACCAGGGCATACAGATTGACGTCCACGTGGAGATCCGAGAAGATGGCCAGCACGGTGACTGGGTCGGTGGCGGAGATGAGGGCGCCAAATAAAAGGCAGTCGATGAATGAGAAGCTTGAGCTCAACAGCCATAAGAAGCCATACACTAAGCCGCTGAAACAGAGGAAACCCATAGAGGTGTAAGGTGTTAATGTAATACTTTACTGAAAGATAGGGTTGTGCTCCTGAAAACCTTTTTTTGTGAGATGGTACAATAAGTATTTTAAAAAGTGGCGTGAATCACTTACCAATGTATTCTACTATAAAAAATAATAATAATAATAATAAAAAATAATAATAAAAAAATAACAATAATAATAAATATATAACTCTGTGTGTGTGTGTGTGTGTGTGTGTGTGTGTGTGTGTGTGTGTGTGTGTGTGTGTGTGTGTGTGTGTGTGTGTGTGTGTGTGTGTGTGTGTGTGTGTGTGTGTGTGTGTTTAATAATAATATAAAATCATAATAATGTTAGTATGAATTGGATATTCACTTGTAATATTTATGCTGCCTCTCATATATATCTTAGTTTCCCTGATGTACCACACATCTGCACCATAATTCCAAGATATCTCACTCTCTCATAATGAGAGCCTTGCAAAGCAATGATCTCCCCCACGAATAGATGATAGATTTAAGTTGTACACTAAATTTTCTATTCCTCTTCTCATCTCATCATTACATTAGTCATCTTTTGGCTATAGAAACTGTATTCATTGAAACACAAATGAACGTTCTGTGAAAAGAAAACAAAAAAACATCCATACAGACATATTCATAAATACATAGAGGGACAAGAAGACTGTAAAAAACTGGGGTTAAAAAAGTGGAGACATGTACAACAGCAAGAGCTTACCCAACTACAAAAGTTGATATGGTTGTCCCCAGAAAGGCAAATGTGAAAATGGCACCCAGGTTCTTGAAGAAATGTCTCTGGAAGGAAGAGAGAGAAAGTAACAATGAGAGAGTGAACCAAGATAAAAATAATAGGTAATAAGTGGAATATATTAATGTGAAATGCAAAAAGATTCCAGAAAATATGTAGGGATGACTTTTCAATAGCATATAATGTCAAACTCCAAAGGAATTCTCCAAATATAAAGCATTATATTTGCATGTGGAAGAAAAGTATAACAAAACATAACCACAAGCTAGGTGGAGGAAAATCTGTGCTTATTACCTGATGAATCTTAGCATTTGCTAGAGAAATTAAGCTTGTCAATAAATGTAATCACTCTGGATATCTTTGATCAAGAATGTTAACAAAAGAAACTAGTTAACAAAGCATCTTTAGCTATTTTATATTCTTGGCTATATATATATAAAAAAAAAAAATTATGTCTTCTCCTTTAATTCAAACATACCCTCTTGAGACTGTAGCCAGCACTGAAGATAATGGGAGGCAGCAAGATGTTAAAGAAGATTTCAGGATCAAAAGTTGCCTGAAAGGAAAACAAATTTCAGTATGTCAAGATGGATATTTTCAGGAACAAGAGAAGGCAACACACAGAGGGAAGCGTGGAAATACACACAGAAGGAAATCATCCAACCATAATATTTGGCTTAAGTGACCAATGAACCATAAACATACACAATGAAGGAAGCATGAACACATGTTCAACATAACTCAAGCCTATATAAAGCTCAAACACTAAACTTTGATATAATTCTTTCTAGTATAATAAACAACCTTCATTCTGAAGTATAAATCCCTCTTACATACACAGATGCCAGTGTAAACCTAAAACCAAACTAAACTAAACTGATAGCATTTCTCCTTGCTTAATAAACAAAAAGTATTCTCTATTACCATCCATCACAGAAAAAAAACAACTTTGAACTTACCTTCTGAACAATCTCATCTTCTAAGCTTTCAGGAATCTCTCCCCTGAAAGAATATGCGTAGGTTCTGTTCTGGCTAGCATTTATATTACCTGAAAAAGGGGTAAAAGAAATGTATTCACTATTTTTTTTTTTTTTTTGAAAACAATAAACATCAAAGAAAAAAATATATACATGAATCAATATTCTTAGCAACTGACATTCTTATGAACACACGAGATTCATTCCTGCAAATAATAATAATTAATAATAATGGTGATGATGATGATAACAATAACAACAGTAATAATAATAATCACATCAATCATAACAAAAATAATAATAATAATAATAATAATAATAATAATAATAATAATAATAACAACAACAACAATAATAAGACTGCTAATAACATTCACATCAATTAACATCTGCCTGTATGTCTATGTATCCTGAATTTGGAAGACACCATAGAACAATATACATGTAAAGGCAAAAAAAAAAGAGATCCCAATATGTATCTATCCAATGTATTGTAGTCCTGATTGTGGACCTAAAACATACACCTCTGTGCATCTGAAGACGGTATTATGACCAGACCTTAGAGCCAGACACAACACTTGGGGTCAAAGGAATCACTCATTTCAAAGTTACTGTCATGATGTTCCTAAACCAACCTTTATACTAGTTTTGGGGTTATTACAAGAGGTAGCATGAAAAGTAAAGGGGATCGTGGTAGTATTTATGTGTATAATAAAGGTAATTTACCTCTGAAAATTTCTATCCAATGTGTTTCTTAATCTCTGAATAAAGCTTTTCTAATTTCTGGAAATAATATTTGCATAGACTGAGTGAGTCAGATCTGTGTAGCAACCTTTGTCTAATTCTCAATTCTCCTTTGCCTCATGAT